GAATGTGTTATTTATTATTATTTGTTACAGCGACGGCGGCGTGCAATCGATATTGGATTCATTTATCATTCGGATTGCACCACAAAACTTGATAATATACTGTGATTTCACGATGTTTCTGACGGATTAAATTGCACAATAAAAAAAAACAATGTTTAATATATAATATATTTTAATTACGAAATCGAACAGTCATAATTTAAGCATGCTAGTTTATATATCTTTAATCATGAAACAAGTTCAATGTGATGCACTTTCAAATACTGTATCATGTTTAAAATTCAAAAAAAAAAAAAAAGATTTTACTTGCTAGATCTGAATTATTTCAGATTGTTCTGATCTGAACAATATATAATTTTGCTTCAAATATTCGAGAAGCATGTATAAATTCTGAAGTGTTTGATGAAGAAAATTATATTTGCAGAGTTATCAACCGGTGTTTTGAAAATAAATTTTGAAAATTTAACTTGTTTTTATCTTTTTTAAAAGTAAAATACGAGTCCATTACTATTAGAAAATTCGCTCATAAGTGTGTTTATTACCATTAAAATATGAATTGTACAACTTGATGCAAAAGTTTCAAAATATGCTGCAAAGAGTGATGCAATATTAAACTTACTACTAGAAGAACCAAAATTTCTATACATTTTTATAACGTTTGGAAAAAACTTAAAAGCAATCCGGAAAAGAAATATGAATTTCTCAAGATAATTGACGGTAAAAACTTCAAGAAATTATTTGGCAGTTCACTAGAGAGTAATATCTCAAGTGAAATATTACAAATTCTAAAAGTACATTTTATTTCCAAAAATGAGTCTGTTTTGGGTTATCTTGAAGGATTTTAAGTATAATAATAATAATAATGTTTAGGAAGGAAGTTTTTTTAAGTATAATAATAATAATAATAAATGGTAGTCTGCCCGAAGGCAGGTTCATGGTGTGAGAGCCAACACAACAAATGAATTCCTTGCCCTTCATCCGATTACCACTATTCTCTATTCCCCCTTTTTTTTATTTAAGTATACGTTTTTAAGTATACGTTTCGAAAAGTTCATGCAACTTGCTTGAAGGCAAAATCATACTTATGACTAGTATATTATTTCTATAAATTTTATTTAATAAGTAAAAACTTAATTTTTTTATAAACACATCTATTACACACAGAATATTTATATTAATATTAAAAACAAAAGAAGTTCATCAAATGGTCTTGCATAATAACCTGCTTGATCACCACAATGCAAATTCATTTCGCCTCTAACAAATTTCCAGAATATATTATATTTTCCGACAGTTTGCATTTCGATGATTAATATTAAATTGTTTTTTGAGCAAATATAATTCCTCTACGGTGGATTTTCGTAATTACATTGTTCTTGAACTAAATCAAGGATAACATATGAGCCGTTTGTTTTTTGTGTAGACCATCCTGGCTGTAATTCGGTCTTAAACTAACACACGATAAATAGAGAAAGAGCTGGTGAATAATCTGGGAAAACGGAAATTTAAGTCGAAAATGTAGTATAATTGAGATAAAATATTTACCGAATGAGACATGGTTTTGTCAAGAATTATTAATTTGTATTTTTGATTTCATTAAATGTTATTTGTATTAGAATAGTATACCAATTATTATAGTAATTAGTATTATTATAGTAATTAGTAGCACGCGGCGTTGAACAATTGGTTTCAAGTGTAAGTTTGTTAATTAATACTTAAAATCAAGTGCTAATAGTACAAAATCTTACTTTGTACTTACTTACTTCACAAAACGGCGAAGAGCAAACCGTATTTATAAAAAAAATATTACAATTATATAGCTATTATTAGGAAAATAATGAGTTTCAAATCTAATATATAAATGGAACCTTAGGTAATATAAAACATATTTCAAATTACTGATATAGCAAATATATTATCGAGAATAATGAGTATTATTGAAAGCATGGACAGGGATGAATTATTCAATTGAGACAAAAGCCAATAAAGACTGTTTCAAGTTCTCAATATTAATCGGATCTTAGAAATTTTAACTTGAAACTTAAGAGATTTTAATATGAATCTTATAAGATATTACACAATTATTATAAAAAGGGTTTTCACATTTTCAGAATTAAAATTAAAATCCGAATTATTTTCGATATTCAAAAAAAATTTTTTTTTTGAAAAATAATTCCAAAAACAATTGTTTCGTCAACACAAGCAAGTTTATTGAATCATTCAAATCGGATGCTCTGTTCTTTTGGATCGGATTCATTACACTATTATATTGTGTAATGAATGTGAATAATAATGAAACTCATATAAAATCGATGATCAATCAATCATATCAAATAAATTATAAATTTTTATTAATATGAAAACTGCGTTGGAATCAGAGTTATTACTAAGGACATATATTCTGTGAATACCAAAATTACCGAATATCATTCCTTTACCCGAATTTTAATCAAGTTGAGCCAAATTACATCCAAATATTTGCGGCTCTCAGGTTAACACTTTGTCTCGCACACAAACATGTCCGCACTAATGCTACGGGGTAAAACGGAAGTTAATAGCCATAAATTTTCAGTGTTTATGTGTTATTAAGTCTCTGCTCGCGAAATTATCGGGTAATCTCTACACCGCACATACACGGACGCGGCGGCATAGGAAAATCTCGGAAACATCTAGACATGGGTAAACATATATATCATCCTAGTATAATTTTAGGATTAACAAAAAATCTTTTAACCCTAAATTATTACTTGCTGAAATATAATTTTTCCAAGAGAAAAAAATAATGAAATTTATTAAAACTTTCATAGGGGAGACTTGGTACGGTTATGCCTGGAAACGGTAGTAATGGTCGTCATAACAGCTAAACTAAGCTAACTTTTAGATAGGGTCCAAAGCGTGAGAGATGAAGTACGTTTATTCGAACAAGTTTCCATTATTGCATTGAGTCGTCACCCTACATTAACATGATCTGTAGAACGCATTGCTTTTAAAGAGTCAAAAATAAGTGTCTTATCCGATTTCCTTCAACAATAACTATTATTACTTGTATACAGATAGATTACTTTGATTGTTATTTTGCTGTAAGTTGATCATTAGTAGTTAATCACTAGCAATTAGTTTTGTTTAATGTGACATTGTATATGTTGTGACATATATTTCTTGTCTTTTTCGAGTGAAATTTAAAAAGATAAAGAAAAATCTATTTTTACTAAGACACAATATAAAAGAGAAAGAAAAAAAAATCATTATAAGAAAAGAAAAAAAATTGACAAAAAGTTCTTGTGTAAAAAATTATGTTATATCTTGTTATATTTATCGTATATTCATAAGATTTGCTTAAATGCATATTTTGTGTTGTGTTACATATTTCTGAAAATATAAGTTATTATCAACCATTTTGGTGTTTATAGCTATTATTTTTAACCTATTTATATGCCTGTTACATCCGTCTTAGTGGTGTGGACGATTGCGACACTAACTGTTTTTTGTTTGTTATGATTTAATGATTCCATCGTGTTTAAGGGCAGTATTTCAGTATTTCCACGTAGACAAATATTAAAATTACCATTTAATTTACTCTTCTTTCAGCTAACTAGTAAATTAACAAAATTATGGCTAGCCAAAAAAAAGTGACACAACCGTACCGTCACAACTGCTCTAAAGGTATGTATTGAATCATTCTTATTGAAATTTTTCAAATAAAATATAAAGACTATTAAATAGAATTTTATACAAGACGCAAAAGCGAGAAACAAATAAAACATAGTTAAAAAAGTATTACCTACATACAATTGAATAATAAAGTTCTTACTAAAACTATTAGTGTCAATCATTATACACATTTATATAATGATAAATTATAAATTATATATTTATAATAGCATTAGAAATATGTATAATATTTAAAAACAATAATGTACTTAGAGTCATACTTCAAATATGACACGATCGGTTTGTCATTGTAATTAGCATTTAGAAGTGAACCCTCATTAGAGAAATAAAGTAATTGCTGATTAATAACTTGTATAATATTTGTTCACACAGTGGATTATGTTAAACAACGCCTAAACAATTATTGTAATTCAACTTCAATTATTGTTATTGCAACTTCACTCATCATGTAATAATTGTGTTTGAAGAACTTCATGTATTTAAAATCAACATACATTCATTGACTGATGGTATTTTTTTTACTTTTTCACTGGGGATATAATCTCATTCTTTGATCAGCTGTAATATCTGTTTTGCCTAAAAAATATTTTTCATTTCAATAACTTCAAAAATTTGTAGAAACTACGAATAATATAGAAATTATTTCAATAAACTTATGTTTCATACACGACGCAATTGCTGCATTTGTTTTATTATTTTCATTATAATTATTTACGGGGGGCAGGGTAAAATATTCCTCTGATTCAGGCATTTTTCATTAATTCAAGATTTGTACTACGATGTAACTTTAAAATGTTCATTTATCTATATGCCGATTTCCTTGTTGATATCGGTACGCATACAACGTTGATGCCGGTACGCATACAAAGACAGATCTCTATTCACATAGACTCGTATAGAAATGATATAATCGAGAGCGAATGACGAATCATTGGCACTCGACTCTTATCTTATCTGCCGTAACGCACTTCCGTTGCATTTGTACGGATTTACACCCTAGTCGAGCCTAAAGAAGTTTTACTTCAAAAACGATTTTTAGTCTATCCTTAAATAGCATTTGTTATTAATATAAAAACAAACATATTACTCCCTCACACCTGTTCCGGATTAACATAACCATAAATTGCCTTCCCGGTTTTGACTTAAAAAAATTTGATCACCTTAAAATTTAACATAATGTTCTCTTATTTTACTCTACTTATTATTCTCTCCTTCTGCATATACTTATTTTTTTTAAATTATTAGGTATATAAAACATTATGAAAAAATTTAAAATTATATCTGATACTGTATTATTTACGGCATCATTATTTTTCAGCGAAACGACAATGAAAACCACAACTGAATGTGGTAAATGTTCACACCAGCATGCAACCAGCATGACGGGGTTGCGCTTTGTAAGAAGAAAGGTCGTGTGGATTGTGGAAATGGCTGGTTGTAAGCTTTTCCGGTTTCCGGAAAATCTCCCGGTCTTTACCGGACGGCGGGACATCTGTCTCGCTTTATCTGTTGGCCGCCTTCCTGTTCCGCTTCTCTACATGTTTGTAATACGGTTACACTCTGGTGGCAGAAGATTATTAGAAGTCGGATTTTTGGAATAGAATTTTAATGAAAAATGAAACAAATATGTAAGTAAGTGTTACATAAACTTTCCTTTTTAATTTGCGCGTATACTATACCTATAATGTAAGTTTGTTAGTTTTAAAAAAATCAAATCAACTGATATATTTGGTGAGATTGGGTACGGTTGTGCCACTTGTTTTTGATCAGAAATAACTTAACTTATATTTAAAATTTACCAGATATCTGTGAGAAAATTAAATTAAGTACAGTACTACATTTGTCTACGTGGAATTATAAAAATTCTGTCCAAATACGATGGATAAGTCAAAAAAATCAAATCATACAAGAAAAGGGCGGCTGTCACAATAGTCCTGGGCGTATAAATATAGTTCTAACAACTAGTAGTGTATGGCACCGTGCCTCAATGTAAAAATTGCTGTAACTTCCCGTACCATACAATTTGTTTTTTTTTTAAATTCCAAGGTTTTTTGAAAATTAGGATTTTTTTAAAGCGATCGCACTGCGTAGCTGTTTTGGATACATATATTGAAGCGCATAAGCGCCGCGTTCTGGTCTAGGGGTTAAACATTACAAATCTTGATACGGAGCCCATAAAATGTATAACCATAATATGTACTCGTTATTAAAACCTTTGGCGAGTGTCACAATCGTCCTGGGGTAATAAATATAGTTCAAACAACTAGTAGTGTATGGCATCGTGCCTCAAGGTAAAAATTGCTGAAACTTCCCGTACCGTAGAATAATGATTTTTTTTTAATTTTTTTTTTTTTGAAAATTTTGAGTTTTTTTTAAGTGATGGCAATGGGGAGCTGTTTTGGATACAAATTATCGAAGCTCATAAGCTCTGCGTTGCGGCCTAGAGGTTAAACATTACAAATCTTGATGCGGAACCCATAAAATGTATAACCATAATATGTACTTGTTATTAAAACTTTATAAACAACTGATAATTTTATTTTAGTGCATATGTCTAAAGATCATTATGGCCGCCAAAAGTCTTTTTTTTAAACAGTTTTTAGTGGATCTCTCCGAAATTGATTGACCTGCCTTCTCAATTTTTTTCAGTATTTCATTTTGCCATTATAAGTAAAATGGGATGCTTTATTCCTATAAAATAGCAACACCATTTTTGGCATATTTTCGATTTCGATTTCTTGCAATTTCTTACCATATGGAATTTGAACTATAAATATAAATATCAAATTTGTAACGATTTTTGTTGTCAAAAATATGTAATTCAACACAACATAATCATTTAAACAAAGCTTGTAAAACAATTAACAATATATGACGAACCATAAAATTTAAACAAGAAATCTTTGTAAAATATTATTTG